TTAACAATAAGTGCCATGTCTCCTAATACTACTTCGTGATGGAAATACTGCAGCCGCATTTATGAAACAAGGGAAAGCTTAGTTTCAGCTTGTCCCCCCAGAGTAATCCGCGAATTCACGTTTACGCAGCCCTAAATTTTGGTTACGCATTTCAGTTGCATCCTGCAAGTTAGGGAAGCTTACCGTTAACTCGGTCGCACCGAGACTTTATTAATTGAGTCCTACGCGAAGCTTCCCCCCTTTAAGCCGCACTCGAAAGCGATTACTCACTGCAAACGAAGTACCTAGGGGTGTTATATGCACTTCCGCAGATGGCGCGACGAGGTCGAAAGCCTTATCAAGTAGAATTAATCGCCGCGAATTTCTTCCCATCCCGGACGGATTCGGCGCGGCAACGCGGACGGAATTACTAATTGCCGTTAACGTCGATGGATTACCGTACACGCATCTCAAATTTGCGCCGGTGGGATAAATGAAGGCACGTCACGGAAATTTCTCGCCAAGCCGTCCCTACTTTTTTTTTCCGCCCGACGAAAAGCTCGCGGAAATGAAAAATTCAGATGCGAGCTCATCGATCATCGCGCATCGAGTATCAATCCGGATGTCAACTGTACGTCGTCGGTGCGTAAGTTCGCCGCTAATTGCGCATTTTCACCGCGTATTTTTGGTAGAAACTATTAATGGAGGGTCGAAACACGTATTGATGGATTCGCGGGGGGTAGGAAAGGCGCCCGTCGACGTTTCCGCTTTTTGCCGGGCGATTCTTTCGGTGACACCTTTTCGAAAGCGTCCTCGGTGACGTCACTTGGATCACGGACGGCAAATTGCTATGCGCGTTGTTAGAGACTCGATTTCCGCAAACGGCAACAATTAATCCGGTCATTCAGCCGCGTATCGGCCATAACGAGCATGCGTCCCGAATCGTTGGTGGAGAGTACAAGAAGTGCACTTCGTGTTGCCCTTTTTTCCCCTTTCCCGTTCGTTCCAGATTTCAATATCAAACGGGATATCGTAAGCTACTCTGGGCGGAAAAACGTATACGTACAAATCTTCCTAATCTTCCGGAATTGATCAGTTGAGCGTACACTGGCGGATATAAATGCCTTCCCTGCAGATATGCACGCAGAAAAATAATATTGTAATCATTACATATGCTCGCGGGTCAAAGTATCGTTGTAACCTTAACAACAATTATTGTAGATGTAATTACATTTTTTTGTCCTTTTAACTATTGCGGCTGTAGCACCAACTGCAGAATTCTTGTAAATAAATTGTAGTTATATTTGCATCTGGCAGTGTTACATATGTAACATTGGAAAGTAAAAATGACACGTATAAAGGCACGGGTAAAAATGAACATCACTGTTGTAAAATTTAAAAACAAGAACTCTATTGAAAACCGTATAATATACCGTAGCACTAGTAATTTTTACAAGCGTGAACTGTTATTGTTCCTATTGTGCGTTTAAGACACGGCGCGAGAAGCATTTGGGTCGTGACATGCATTAGTTGCGCAGTCCTGCGAACTGTTAGATTCATTGTGACTTCGGTAGCCGCATCCTTCGGTCCTCTTCGAAATTCGGTTTCCGATCTAATTTAAGATCGAGTTTTACTGTTTCAATTCATTGTAATAATTTGATTAAGTGACTACATGGATGACTTTGTAAAAAATGAACTTCAGGAGTAGAGGTTAGAAAATCTACAACAATCGTTCCAAGATAAGTTTTACATAAAACAAATATTTACCGTTTTCAATGTATTACATCTGTAGTGATTTTCCGAGTTCCCGACAGGAAAGGATACCGTTTACAATGATACTTTTTGCATGCTCAACGGCAACATATATGTATGTCTGTCAATGGTAGTTTTTACACGAGCTGACTGTAATATACACATGTTGCTATTCTATTTTCTAGCTACCCCAACCGTAATAAATGCGTTGCTGCATGTTACTTTCTACTTGTATCAACAGTAAAGGGTACACTAGCGAATGTTATCATATACACATGTTATGTGGTAACTATTGCTTCAGTTGACGAGTTTATGCTGTCACGATTGTAAATATGACTGTCGTATTGTTGCAACCGTAATCATTTTTTGTAATAATGTGTACTACAATGAAATTGTACATTTGATATTTTTAGCTGAGTAATCCTTACTTTGTAGAACTGCTGTCCTTATATTTACCAGCGATTGCTGTTATATCTATCCCAATTGTAGTAATTATAACACCTTTTTTCTCTCCGCGTGGTACCGTCATTAAAAACAAGGAATGCCATGTGCGTTAATATTCACGACTGATTCCCTTTTTCATTTCCGTGAATGTGCATTGTTAAAAATGTCTGTTCGAAATAGAGCATAGACATTTTTAACAATGCACATTCATAACATGTGGATGTTATTTTCAAAGTACCACATTTTGATGTCTCGTACAAAATTGTTTTCGGGATTTTAGTGAACCAGAAGGCATATGAATTTCAAAAATTTCTTTCGTCACTGTATGAATTCTCAAAAACTCGAATACTTTTGTACACTGATTTTCAATCATATAGACAATTGCAGGTAATTTTAAAAAAGCGCGTTGTAATATATTTAGTAACCTTTTTTTCCTCATCTTACATCCGTTGGGTTCAAAATTTCCAATGCTTTTATAGGAATTCTCACGTAGAAGTGGTGTTCTAAATATAGTATACATTTTTTCGGTTTTCATTTCGCACGACGCTGTTTTTGGTTTAGCATACCCTTATATTAAAAAATGTCGAAATATTAGAACATCTTCAACGGTGTACGAGGCAACGATATAACGAATTAGCGCAAGAACGAAACGAAACGAATTTCGAGATCCTAACGTATCGCGGATCCTTCCCAGGTAGTACCTCGTTAGTTTTCTCGTTGCTCTTTCTCAGCTCCTCCATACTTCATTTTATCTCGACGTGGGGCAGGAACGATGCATTTCCCGAATCGCGTACAGGGACGATGCATCCTCCGAACGGCGTGCAGAAATAATGCAGTTTACGAGCTGGGGGCATGATCGACGCATTCTTCAAGTTTAGCGATGCGCGAGTGCAACAAATTGATCAGGATTATCCGAACTCCCATGTAAGGTGCAAGACTTCGAGAAATCCGGAAAACCGAGCAGATCGCTATTCCATTTGACAGGAGAGTTCGACTGCATTCTACGGCGCAATATAGCGCGAAAACGTTTCCCGGAATTAAGGTGATATGAAAGTGGCGTCGAAGAGGTATCGTTCATGAAACTTTTCTCCGAATTGGGTTACCGAATCGTCTAAACCTTTACAACGTGAATACGGAGACTATAAGGAAGGTCCTGAAACTCGTGAAATATCATGTTTTTCCTTTTTTTAATTTGTTTACAGGTATTTTAAAAATATTATATAAGAAATTGAATTTCATGAGCGCCAGAACCTTCCTTATAGCCTACATGTTCATGTTGTACAGTTTGAAACGATTCGGTATATCCAGTTTGTAGAACAGTTTCATGAACGATTCACCTTTCGGATACCACTTTCACATTCCCTTAAGGGGTTACACCATTTTATCCTATCCAAAAATTACGGTTTTTCAAGAATTTTTTTTAAGAATTAATACGTTTTTATCCAAATTAAAGTATAGTAAGGTATTATACTGCTATTAAACAATAAAATAATGTTTATTTATTTTTTTATTTACAACAATGGCCGCTTGAAAGGCGATTTACCGGAACGCTGCGAAAATCGATGATCGTGCGGTGGGCACGATAACTCAGACCAGGTTTAAGCTAGATCAATGAACGAAAAAGAATTAGTTTCTATAGCCCAAAAGCTAGCGAAATACGTAGCCGTTTACAAAAATATGCATTTTTCACAAAATGGCATCGATTTGAAAGGAAAGATACGTATTTTGCCCTAAATTTCATTAATTAATGTTGCATAAAAAGCCCGAATATCAATACATTGAGAAAACCATACGTATTTCGCTAGATAAACATATTACGAATAAAATAAAAAAAGAATCAAGACGATTGATTGAAAATTGGCGGAGCTAGAGTGTCCACCGATTTTTAAAATGCAGTTTTAAGAAAAACGCGTTTAAAGTATAAACGCGTAAAATGAACGCGTACAAATTGTTTTGATTATTTGAAAATTTCAAAGTGGTATAACCCCTTAACGAGTTTATTAAGCGCAACCGTGTTTGAACTCTTTCCCGAAACAAGGAGCACTCGGCGGTTGAAAGGACGTCTCTTTTCCCCGAAATCCCTCCTCTCCTCGTGACTACCTCCTTCGCGTTTTAATTAGTTTCTTTTCTCGCCCGTTCCGGTCCCTTGTCGCCTTTTTGCAGCTATCCCTCTAGAATACGGCCTCGTTCGACGTGTTTCGACTGTCGCGTGGACATTTAGGTGCTCTATTTACGGTGGACCACTCGGTATATGGGTATAAACAATTCAGAAGCAAACCCTTCCAACACCACCCCGGGGTTCACGGGGTGAAACCAAGATGGCTACCGCACGGAGTTTCCCACACTTGCTCCCTGCATGACGCCAACACGTACGCGCTAAGTGCTCGAACACGTCCAGAATAAGGTCATGGGACGCGAGGGCCGTGGAGAACTTGTCCCTGTACTCGTAGCGCGATTGATATTCGTCCCATGACGTCCTTCCAAGGACTAGAACAATGCCAAGCAACTCCAGATAGGGAGCAAATAAGGACCCGGCTAGAAGTCTTGGACAACGCGGTGGATTGCATTCGTTTCGGAGCCCATTACTCGCCCATTGTCGCAGGACCGAGGGTATTATGTCCGAGTGCGTCAAAACGAGGAGGTCCATTGTTTCGGGTGGTTAAATGCTCATCCAGGACGGTGAAATCCGGATTGCGTTTAGCCCAGATTGCGGACCGATTCGGCGCTCTTCAGGGTCCTCGAGGGCGCGAAGAGAAGCCCTTCGATTTTGCCCATGATGGGTAATATGCTGTAACATGCCGTAATATGCAAGCCGACACACCTACCTGGCACTCGTACGTCCCGTTGTCCCTCTCTTGAACGTATTTGATCTGAAGGGTCCAATCGTCGGAGCCCTCGGGATGCAGCACTTGGAACCGCTCGTCGCTGGTGAAGATCAAGGTGGAGCTGGTCAGGACGTGCCAGTCGCGTCGCCGGATCCACGATATCTGCAACCGGGGCAAATGTTCCTTCTGTCCCATCTTTTCCGAGTAATCTCAACGAATTCTCCTTCCGTTCGGCGGAAGTTTGTAGGAATTTAGGGAGCTCCTTCCTCGAAGGTCGCGACTCGTAAGTAAGGACACCGAGGCGCAACTTAGGTGGAGTCGACGCACCCTCCGAGGAGTCCTCCTTCCCGGAAACTCCGCGACTTCGGGAAAACTTACGACCCTAGTCTTGCCTTTAACTCTCTTTATTTTGCCCTAACGGATCGTACACGTTCCCAGAGAGATCTCCATTTCCCCGAACGTTAATTTCCGCCGGGTTGATTTCCCTTTCGGGACGAAAACGCGGCTTTTTGGATTAAATATGGAAAGGAAAGCGAATCTCCCTCGGGCTATAGCAACTCCCACGAAAGTAAATAGTGCGTTTTGATCCCCGTGGAATAACAACGCTTGCAGAGTTTTGCCGAAATTTCACTCGCTATTTTGTCGACGGCGATGGGGGGGTGATAAACTCCCGTTTGGTGCAAAAAAAAATATCAAGTTAATTCCGCGCGTCCTTTTCCCTATCAAAGTAATCCCACCGAGTCGACACTGGAAACAAAAAGAAAAAAGGAACGAAAAAGGAAAACAGCGATCCCCTCGTTTCGTTCGCCGGTGGGTAGTAAACTCGTTTCCGGAATTAACGCCACGAGGGATCTTCGCGTAATTACTACCTCGAGATTCGGCTTTGAATAAAAATGGACATATTTAGAAAATAACCTAGGCGGGTAAACAAACACGAGGAGAATTGCTCGGAGGTTTGTCGCAGTTCCCGGTCGAGAGTGGCACGTTTCGCCGAACGATAAAAAACTACGATTGGGAGAGGTCCGGCCCAATCTTTTTCCGATAGTCGCAGCTACGGCTCGCTCGTTCACTCGTGAAGAATACCGAGCTATAACGCATGCGTACTTCGATATGCAAGGCTTCGGTAGGTTCTTTTTCCCATGGACATCACCGCTCGACGAGGGCTATAAACGGCCAGAATATCCTACACCTTATCACCGAACATACGCGGTTGGTTGCGCGAGCTTCAAGAGACCATCTCTTCCTCATCTCCCGACTCGGTATTCCATCCATAGCGATAGAGGTGGATCAAAGACACCTCGGGGAAAGGATGCTCACCTCAGTATCGGTGACGGTGTGTTCGTTAAGGTGGTGAACGTTGCAGTGCAGAAACGCCGTGCCGCCCTGCTGCACCGTAACGTTGGTCACGGTGTTGTTGTCGTTCACCTCGTTGGGTCTGTGGAGCTCCTCGAAATTCCCGTACAATAAGGACCTCCAATCCATGGGCACGCCAAAGGGTGCTCGGCGATCTGCGAACCAAACGAGCGGACTTAAAAAATGGGACGTGGGGAGAGAACTCAAGCCTTGAGCCGCGTTCCACTTCCTCTTAAATACAGGCCACGGATCTATATGCCAACCGAATAGTTGCTATCCCACATGGTTTTATGGCGATTTTAAGCGACGACTTGTCTTGGATCTTGCATCAACTAATATTGTAATATTTGCACAAGTGTCGAAAACAGCACGTCGTTGAAAATAAGTGTATGTACGATTACTCGAAAACTTCAGGGCACTGCAGCCCCTTCTGCACATGCGCAGGTGGTAATTAATTGGTACCACAGCCCATATTCAGGGAAGCTAGAATCCCTTGAATTGTCGTATGCCTCTCTGTATAGAGCTAATAGTATCACGTTTATCTAGTTAGTATGTAGAGTGTTTCCAAAATGGTGGACACGGTTTGCAAAGCGCTATCCTTGTCGGAAATGGAGTTGAAAGGTTCATTATAGGTCCTTTAAAGGTCATTTAATTGTAATAATTAATTAAAAAATAGCAACCCAGGCCGTCGATTAGCTGAACGCGTATCAGCAGCGCTCTGCTATTCGAGGCATAGGGGCGAGATGGAGTGGAAAAGTCATGTACGATTTTTTTTTTACCGTGCATAGTTTACTTGTGATAATTATTCGAACAATAGGAAATAATTGTACGGAACTGTTTGACCGATTGTCGCTAAAAGTCGAAACCACTCGGCTGAATCGCCGGTCCAGCGAGTCGGGAACAATAGGGTGTACATACCGGAAGAGCGTTTTATTACTAATTTCAGAGGTATCGCTACATCTGTCGGTGGGAGCAATAAAGCGGTTTTACGGCTCGTCGCTTCCATTTAAAAAGCGAGAGCCCTTCGCCGAGTTCACGTCCCGCGATGTCCCCGATGTCGCATCTCTTTTCTTATTTCGAGCCTCCTACTCGCCTGCTCGTAAAGCACGGTTTTCCGCCACGCGGAAAAAGGGCCGTACGCCCTGAATTTCGAAGACATCACGAAGTACCGGAAGAGATGTCTCCGGCGTTGGCGGTGCATCTCGCGGCGGGCTCATAAAATTCGAAATTCCCATCGGCTCCGTATTTGTATTATTTAGCCGCCGCTCGCTGTCGCCATCCGCGGAAAAGTTGGATGCGGCGCGGAAACGCGTGACAGGGCGCCGGGAAAATTTGTACCTTTCGTGAGCGCGGATATTCGATCGCGTCCCATGCCCGCGGTTTTTTGTCACCGCTTTTTAATGGAACGTCGCCCTACTTTCCCCCGGCAAAATGGCGAGCTGCGTCGAGGTCCGAGCGAATTTTCCGCGGCTCCTGAGGTGAACCCCGACCGTCCAAACGAAATTCCGCCCCGTTTCTCCAAACGTGCCCGCGAAAAATACGGCGGAATTAGCGAGGCCGCGCGGCCTGAAACTCGGCTCTATTTGTGCCCATTCAGGAGGATCCCCGTCCAATTCTTCCCTCGCCTGGCGAAGAAAAGGCCGAGCAAATCGCGTTCGCTTCGGCTGGGCGAGGCGATTTGTACCAATTGGCGAGATACGCGCGAATTCGTTCCAAGCTCTCCGGCTTTAACGCATTTAACGCGTATTTTGACGGACGCAGATTTTTACAGTTCACGCTATATTAATTGTATCATATTAAATCGTGTGCGTCAGTCACCGGTGACCATCGTGGCGTCGAGTGCGTTAAGGTGAAGTGAAACACGTCGAGGAACTTGATCGACGTCGATAAAGAAGATTTTTCTAAATGCCTACGTTGCTGACGTTCGTTTTTATATTGACAGCTGTGTCGAATTACATTGAATATTGTACTAAATGGCATACTACACCTGTCGTTTTCGTATAATAAATATCAAGAAATCGAAGTAAAACTCCAGAAATCCTCTGGATTAATTGACTGCAGGGGGACACCCTGTGATTTCCAAGTCAATTAAATTTTCACTCCGAGACCCCGTATTCCCATCGTTTTAGCATCGAAGCGCATACAACACTTTTTTTGCCCTTATCCTGTTCAAATGCGAGTTTATCGATTCGATTGCCCTTATCCTGTTCAAATGCGAGTGTTCTAAATTGTCGTAAAATTGTCCTGACCCTTTCGATTCTCATATCAGAGCCTTCGATAATTGTATATTGATCGAAATATGAGAGCTCGACGCCATTTTGGTTCTGGTCTGGGCTCTTAAAAAAGTTTTTCCAAAAATCCAAATTTTGAATGTGTCAGGACAATTCTTAGATGATCAGGAGTGATGCGTCAAAGTTTCGGACAGTTTGGTCTAATACCCTTAAAAAAAAATGTATTCGAATCGACTGATTTGAAGGGCGTTTCACTCCACCTTAAGGGGATGTGTATGAGCTATCCGAAGGGTCAATCGTTCATGAAACTTTTCTCCGACCTGGGTATACCGAATTGTTTCAAACTTAACAACGTGAATGCGGAGGCTGTAAGGAAGGCCCTGACACCCATGAGATATAATAATTTATACAGTTTTTAAAATGTTTATAAGTAAATTTTTTTAAAATTTAAATTTTATGGGTGTCAGGACCTTTCTTATAGCCTTCACATTCGCGTTGTTAAGTTTGAAACGATTTGGTGCACTCGGTTCGGAGAAAAGTTTTATAAACGAGACCTCTTTAATGCCACTTTCATATAACCTTAAGTCAGGTCGCGACTTCTAACTTATTGTTAGCGACAACGTAGGGCTGGTGGACACGTTTTGCGGGTACCTTGCGAAAAATTGCATAGGTTTTCTTGACATCCTCTACTATAAGGTCGTATATTAAAATCGAATTCTTCCTTTTGCATGCGAAAATACATATAAGAAGTCGCTCTTCACCGGTCTCATATTCGTTCGCAAGACGGTGAAACTTTCCAAATTTTTCTCGTTTTCTAGTGATATACTGTATCCAATATCCGTGCTTCTTTCTCTCTTTTTACACAAATTGCTCCTGCAATTTCTTTTTCCATTTCACTACTGATGTGTGTACCTACAGCTGTTATCAACGAACATCTTGATATTAATTGAACTACTAATTCTATGTATCATTATATAAGATAAACGGGATCACGGTAAAAAATATCGTCAGTGCGTCACGACCCGACACATCGCTTGGGCCTACTTTTAATTCCTACCTTTAAATCAGAATTCACGCAACGAGATTTTCGTTTTCGCGTCATTCGCTGGTCCACAAAATCACAAATAACCAAGGGAAAGAATGATTTACAAATGATCCCGAAACCCCGTAGTTCCGAGTCCCGATCGGAAAGGGTGAAACTGTTGAGAAAAATCTCGGGAAAATCCAGTTTCCAATAGATCGTTACGACAGGTCCGTGTCCGAAGTGCGCGTCAGCAGCGGCAAACGTAAACCCGGGGCAGACCTCGGGTTTTCCGCCCCGGGACGGGACTTTCCTCCGAAACCGGAAAAGCAGAGCGAAACGCACGGAAAGAGCTCCGCGTTGATGGAAAAAGTTGAAAAGGCCACTTCGGCACCGGGGGATAGCTCCTTTCGTCTGGCTACGATCGGAAACTTTCCCTGTCAACGAAACGCCCGCAAATGTATCCCTCGCTTCGTGGACCTATCCAACGAGGCAATAAAATCGTTTATTAAATTCCCGTCGTTCGATTTTTGGTCGGCGGCCTTTCCACGTAGTTCCGTCCCCGGAGAAGACGCGGCGGAGGAAATCGCTCTCCGTATAGCTCGTCGATTCTCGGCGATTGGACGCCATTACGGCGGTCAGCCGGGATAATCCGGCGATTTATTCCCAAATTGAAGCGGCGCCGTATAGCGGGAGATCTCCCGAGGCTTAGAGAGCAATTCCGTACCCTGGCTTTGTTCGCGAGTATCGCGCCTCGAGGAGGGCAGGATAAGGCCGAGGAGACTCGGTCTCCCTGGAATAAACTCGGACTCGAAGGTCCGATCGAACTTCGAGACTCGAGCGTGGAAGGGAGCAGATCGCATTCGCCGGAGGTGCACAGATGGGTGGGCAAACTTTAGAGACTTCTATCCGTCTTAAGGGTGCGGGAATAAGAACCTCCCCTGCTCGGAAAACGAGAAAAAAATCGACGGAAGCATAGCTTTGCCGCCAACTGCACATATTTACGTAGAACCACGTCTGGGTAGGGTCTCGTGACATTTATCTCCCCAATCTGCCCCCCATACCTAAGGTTATGGCTCGGGCGATCAAATCAGACCAGAGCAGATTAAACAAAGTTTAGCCGTTATAAATATATAATTCTATAAGAAGAATAATACAGAGTGGGAGAAAATGTTCCCGTACAAAGTTAGAAATGAATATTAAACTTCACTCGGACAAGACAATTGTCAACGGAATTCATGAAAATGTAGCCCGAAAAATTCTTCACGACTTTGTTTTAACAAATGTTAAAATTGGTCGCCTTTTAATTGCATATAGGTGTTAAACGTCTCAAGATCAAACTTTGTACGGGAACACGTTTTCTCGACTCTGTAGATTTGCCTTAATTGGATCTCTTCCAATCGGATCTGATCGCCTGCAGTGTAGTTATAAGCTGTAGTCGGAGGACTTAATTCCACGTGAAAAGTTGGGGCAAAGTCATGCCCCGTTTCAACGAAAAAGACGGACGGGCGGACTTCGTTCGCCCGATGCCTGAATAATTCACGGGGTGCGAGAATGAGGGGCCGGCAGCAAGTGGTTCCCGCTCGCTGAGAGGGCCGTAAACGTTGATATTTACCGCTGCTTAAATAAGTACACAAGTGACAACGCGAGTAACACGCTTCCCATGCCCGAAGCCACTTCCCGTATCCCTCGGGACGCTTCCCGGTGGCCGCAGCGGAATGGCCGCGCTCCAACCTGAAATCGGAACCGTGTCGCGCCGATTAGAGCCCCGCCGACTCTCGGAGAAACTTCGTCGTCCCGTCATTTCGAAATTGAAAAGTTCCGCGACGGACGAGACAGGTTCGACGTCCGTCCACCTACTTCCGGCCATTAAAGCACGGATCGTCGAAAACTCCTCGCGGGT